AAGTTCGGCGCGTTACCTAATTGCTCGACATCGCCCCGACAGAAAGTGAGACCTCCAAGTTGGATAACGTTCGCTTCAAGGCTTTTGCTTTGACTGCGACTTTGCTCTCTGATCATGCCAGGGGAGATCTTGACATTGGAATCTGGGTCAACTCTTCTTTCTCTCTCTCGTTAACGTAACTCTCTCACGGGTTGCAACGAGCGCACAGACTCGCACACACGCGCACAAATACACGCTGCAATTTCGTTCGTTCGCCTGCCGGATTTATGTGTGTTTACAAATTTTTCGGTCGCGCAGGCTTGAGCTGTAAATCACACGATTGCTGCTTAAAACTCAAAGTGTAGCTTCTCTTCTTTTTTGTTACAGGTGGTTGGCTTGTATGGTCAAGTGGATTTACGAGGACTTTCGACTGTGTTTTTAAAGCCTCACCGCAAATGAAATAATACAGGATTTTTTTTACATTTCAGCTGGTATCTTTAGCGAGTATGTTTAAACTTATTATAACATAAGCGTAGTGACCAGATATCGAAATATTAAATAGTTCAACATGTGCGCAGTTGTATTTAGAATGTTCAGTTTTGAAATTATATTTTAAAAAATCTGGTTTTTATGATTCTCCTTTAATTTTATAAGATACTTAATTCACTTGTCACTGGGCATAGACCTGCAATGTATACTTTGAAACAGTTTCAAAAATATTACCGAGCAATATTAATTCGTCCACATTAAATGAAACTTTTTTAGATCTGCAATATTATTTCGAACGAAAATTTAGATTTGTTTTATTTCTTCTAAGTTTGTTACTCGTATCAAATGTGGGAATCATCGACATACTTTCTGAAAAATAGGTCACGAACGAGGAATCAAATTTTTTAGCAAACACCGTTTCGATAAAACGCTAAAAATCGCACGTCTCATCTACTGTTCCAACGTTACAGCAATAATTCAGTCGCAGGAATTTGTTTGAAAAAGAGACCGACGACGGAAGCCGCAGCGTAAGAAAAACGGTATTCATCGATACATTTTAACAAGTCAACCGCCTCTCTAACGCGCGATGAAAAATCAAGTTTCTCAATGAACCACACACTCTTCCGTAATACGAGAACTATCTGGCTTTGTACCGTTCAATAATCTTCATTCGAACGTATACCATTTCTATTCATAAATCCCGCAAGCGACAGCATTTTTTCGCAGACTTACATTTGCATCTTTTATTCACTTTCGGGTATTATTGATTTGAAATTTTCTTTGAGCTTTTCTCCAATTACACATTAACCAGTCTGCTTTGATGATTTTTTTGAAAGCGAAACAAGCACCGAGAGACGTGCTTCGTTTTTCTGACTTTTTGGCAAATCATGCTATAAACGCTGCAATTTTTCTCGGATAAAGGAGGTCATTGAAAGTGTTGTGCTTATTACACAGGTTCTCTCTCTCTTTCTCTCTCAGACTTGCTGCCGGTATTAACAAGAATGTCAACGATCGATATGCAAGTTCTTTTTTCTTTCTTCCTCGACTTATTCACCGAGAAGCACTTAAAAAAATTGTATGCTCTGTGAAAGTTTAATGCTCTTAATCATCATTCTCTCATGATTCCTAAATGTTCTGGGATAAGAATCTATTTATGGTAATTCTTACAAGGGGACGCCTGCGGGTGAATCGCATATGTGTTATCAATGCGCGAGACGGCAGTATGATCTTCTTTTGGAAAAATAAGAAAGAGAAAAAGACCTCTGAGAGTAAGTATATACCTTTCTCTCAGACGAGGCCCTTTAACAACCTTACAGTCTTGCCTTCGGAAGCCCTCGGGCGATATTTTCTGGTTTCGACGTTCGCCTCCTGACGCGACGGATTTCGGTGCCTTTGACCGTCTCGATGAGTCTGACATACATATCGCCCCATACGACCTCCACTGCTGCTACTTTTGTCAGAAAAACCTGAACATTACTGAGAAGATACAATCGATATGACAATTGGCCTTATTAATGCGCTTCATGTAGTTCACAAAGTTATTATTGTATTATATGTGGGACACACACGATTCTTGATTTTTTAAGACCAACAGTGGGCGGATAACTTGTTTCTCTCGACACATATATTAATATCAAATGTAATCGATCCGGAATCTTCATGCATAAAAACGTGTTGAGTATCATTTTTCAAATAAACACAATGATAACGATTCTCAACGGTATAATTCTAGTGGAATAATAAAAGCATGTTTGAAAAGTGATTTTATAAGATCATTTAATTATTACTTATTAAAATATGTTTTTTACCGATCCCTAAATTCCAATTTTCTTTTTTTAGATTTTAGCTTAATTATTCTAACATTATAAAAATAGTTGTTCATTCGACAATGTCATATTTTTATTAACTTCATAGTTTTTACTGGCAAAGATTATAAATATTTGAGTTGTAAGAGATACACATCTTTTACGAGCAGTGAGAATCAATTGATAGTTAACTTTTAAAACTCATAATTTGAACAATGTATAACTTTTATGTATTTTGTAACTCCTGTTCATTTTTAGCTCTATTCGTGTATATGCTGTCCACTTGTTCTATAATACTGCAATAAGTAATCAAAATGTGATTTTCAGAAAACTATATATTTGAAAATGACTGAAACTTACCTTGCTATTTCCACGTCAAGTTTTACAATTAGAAAACAATTCATAAATAATCGTACATTTTGTAAAGTGACTTTCACTCTTAAATCGTTACCAAAAAACGTATTGTTTTCTCGTTACAAGCCTCAATATCTTTAGAAGTTTAAAAAGTCTTAAAAATTTTTCGAAGTCTTTCAAACAATATTTTGGAGTTTTAAACAAATATTAAGATATAAAACGATAGCTGTAACTTAAAATATTTGAATATCATAATACTTTTAAATTACTATACTCTGAGCTAATTAATTATATAAAACTCATTCTACATAACATGAACAATTTTCGCAAAGTGATAAATGAAGTTTAAAGTATATAAATTGTTGTTGAAACACAAACTCATATCTGATAGATAATCTATAAAAGAAAGTTATTGAAGTTATTTTAGGAGTGAATAGAAAAGTAAATCACATAATTGCAGGTGTAAAAAGTGCTTAATCATCATAAACTTTGAACCATTGGTGCCTTTGTGTACACCATCTGTGATTACAGAAAATCATATAACAGTTTCACTCGACAAATCATGGCTTTCATCGTAATCATCCAATCAAATGCCATTACTTGCACGCGTAATGAAGAAAAAAAGGAGGATATATAACGAGCTAATGAGATCGTTATTGTTTTTGTAATGCAAAGATAATAATCAATCATTTTACTCTATATTTCATAGGCTTCTCAACAATTAAATTAGCCTACAGATGTTTTAATATAATATACCATAAAACTAATCGTTGGAACCGAATGAATGAAAACAGAAAAAAGAAGAAAAAAAGAAGCTTCACGTATATGGGCACTTTCATGCGCACTGCTAAATGCATAAATTCGCACGTGACTAAATAAAATGCAGGCACGCGCGTGTTTAAACTTCGCTCGTGCGCCTTTCAGATACAAAGACGATGCCGACAAGACATTGGCATAGATGGGATTTCGAGAGAAACAAAAAATAAGAATTTGCATTTTTATGGAGACACGCTAGCTCTTTCCTTTCTTTCTACAGAGAGATTTCGATGACTGAATGAGCACTTATTCCTTTAAGAAGATTCATTTTCGTTTGGATTTACATGGTAAAAATTTTTCGGGCAATTATTTATTGAAATCAGGATTAGAATTTCGTTTGAAATTTGAATCATGCGAAATCTAGCATTTCTGCGAGATGTTTTCTTAAATGAAATCTATTCGTACAGCATGTTAACAGGAATTTCGAGATAAACGTTCTATCGTATATGTGAATAATTTACGCGCAACTTCCGCACTGATTCGTATAAAGTGAAATCATATTCGTTTCAATATCTAAAAAAAGCTTACAGAGCATATTCCGCCTATTTTGCACATAATCTTTTTGTAATTTGTCATGATTGTTATAGAAAACGTTGTTTTATTTCATAGCAATAAACCATTTCGACATTTCTACAATAAATTCTCTCCTGGCAAAACATAATTTTATCGAGAAAGAAAAAATAAAAAAACTGATAACGTAATTTTATGTAGCTTGTTCAAATGGTCACTACTTATACAACATTCATATTCATGTTAGTACACTTGAAAAAAGTGCGCGGTGCAGCTCTCAAATTCTCTTGAAATGTGTTCAACGTTAAAGTTGCTTTCCCGCGGGTGCACATTGGAAATTAGAGGCATTTGAAAGCAGTGGCCACACCAAGGTAAACGCGCGCATGCAGTCGATTCGACCAAAGGCAGGTCTTAAACTCACAACCGCATTCACACATTTTTCCCCGACTCGCGGCTGCAGATGAGTAAAAGAGGAGGACCTGCTACTGGCGCGTGAGAGAAGCAAGCAAAAACAAAAAAAAAGAAAAATGAAAAAAGAGTCTCAGGGTGTACATACCTCTCTCGGCGCTTGCCTCGCGAGAAAGAAAGAAGGAAGGAGAAAGAAGAAAGCACGCAGCTCTTGTGTATACAGCGAGTGCGGAGCCAAGCAAGCAGCGTGTGGGCACACATCCAACGGATGACCAGCTTGGCTTGCTGGCAGTGGCGGTGACATGAAGAGGACACGCATACATGTACGTACGCGCACATGCTATAAGCGAACCTGACCGAGCAAGAGAGAAAAGAAAAGAGAGTACCAATACAGCTAAAGGAGGGCTTTGGGAATGTACGGTGGGGGCCATCAAAATTTCAAAAACGTACGCGGGCCCCTTTCGCGCACAGGGATAAAAGCCAGCATCGTGATTCTTTCGGTCAGTTCCGATACGATCGCCGTCGTCGTCGTTCCCGTTGCAGAGTTCGCGATATTTCACTCGCCACTTTGTATTTTTTCGCAATATAATATTTCGCTTCGGTGAAGTGCAACCCAACAGAAAAAGCAACAGAAGCATCATGCTGAGATTCGTGGTTGTTTGCGCCCTTGTGGCTATCGCCTCTGCTGCTCCTGCAGCTCAGGAACAGCAAACTTCACTCTTCGAAGATGCTTACAATCTGTATAGCTCGTGCTCGTCCGAAGCTGATATTGCTGTCTGTCTGAAGCTTAAAGCTCTTGGATACGTCGACAGGGTTTCCAGGTCGGCACAAATCGACCTTATTGATGGATTGAAAATCGTTCAGAATGAAGAAGGCAAAAGGTAATTAAGAAAAAAAAAAAACTATTTTATCTCTCTCTCTCTCTCTCTCTCTCTCTCTCTCTCTCTTTCTCTCTCCCTTCCGTGGGTTGGATAAAACTTTCGATTAAGGAATTTCACTTTTGCTTTCTGTATCTTAAATAATTTCTCCCACGGATGAATATTAAGCAGAAACGTCAGAATGTGATGAAAGTAGAATGGAAAATTAACATGGATTGCGTAATACATAAAATAAAATAATCACGATGATTCATTTGTTTCTTGTTGCAGCCGCGCCGACAATGCCAGGTCGTTGAACGATATCGAAGCTACATTGCCTACCGAGCCAGAAGCTAGGGAATCAGCTATCAACGAAGCTCTTGTTGACAGAGTTGCCCGTTTCCTATCTACTCACACCGTTGAATTAAGTATGCCCGAGGAAGTCTCCCGTTCTCTTGGCGAAGGTACGTCATAACTTAAATATTCTCGTTATTTATTTTCGCAAAATTAACAAATTTTTTAAAAGCATAATTTACCATCGTTGCAGCTCGTGGCAAGAAGAAGAAGATCGTTAAATCGCTACTGCCTCTTCTCCTTCTGCTGAAATTGAAGGCTGCCGCACTTATCCCCATCGCTCTTGGTGGACTCGCCCTTCTTGCTTTCAAGGCTCTCGTTATCGGCAAAATTGCTCTGATTCTCAGCGCCGTGATTGCCCTGCAAAAACTCTTTGGAAACAAGCACCAAAGCTATGAGGTTGTTACCCATGATGTACCACACCATCACGACGAGCACCACAGCAGCGGTTGGGGACGATCACTCGAGATGGCTTACAGCGCCCATAAACCTGCCACCGCTTAAAAGGTGTCGAAGTTTGTGATGACGATAATTCATCTCTTCCCAAATGTCATCTTGTCTCTCACTCTCTGTCTCGTCCATCGGCGTTCAATTTCTCAATCAACTGGAGTTGTTGATCATGCGCCTGACCAAGCCATTCTGATTATGTCTCCAACTATCTAATATACTCTTCTATCCTTTCGATCCTGAAATGATACACTGGCACTCAGGAATTGAGGACGACGATGATCGTGAACTACACAACTAACTGACAATCGTGAATTACACGATGACTAACTTGACTGTGCGACAAAAACGACTGTGGACGTGACTCACATTTGTTGTTGATGTTGTTATTGTTATTGTTATTACTGGACGTTTCATCGCTAGTTTTTGATGAAGTGGCGATATGACAGAAAAACGCACACGCACGAGACAAAAAAAGGACGATTGTTGATTATTGATGACAAGTTGTTAGAAAAAAAGACTCATTTAACAAAGTCTCTACTACGTGGACATTGAGACAGTGACGACGTAATTGTGCCTTAGTTCTTATTCCTGATGGACTTCGGGAACTTTCTTCTCCTTCTTCTCTTCATTTTTTCTCTTCATTCTTCGCTATCTCTACCTACAAAGTTATTTATTACACGGACAATGTTAACAAATAACTTTGCAGGAGACTAAACTAAAGTGGTCATACGCGTGCGCATCTCGCATCATCATCTACCTTGGGGTCATCAGGGTTATATTCTATAACCATAAGATATGACGACCCCTAGTCAGCATTCACAAGCATACTTACGCCACTGAGATTATTTGTTTCCAATGATTATTTATATTTAAACCGGCTTGAAAATAGTCCGGATATCACCATTGTAACTTATGATTTATTTATAAATAAACCTTAATACGTTTTTATTATAAATACCTTATTTTAATTCATTGTCTATCTTATCCTTCATATTATTCAATTTACGAATACGTTAATGACAATTGTTACAGCTTATGTCTCAAGTAACAAAAACTATTATATTTACAATTATTGATCACGCGTAAGAATAAATAAATCAAGAAAAATAGATATTTACCAAGATATAAATATTAATGCTAAGAAAGTAATAAGATTATTGATTAAGAAAAGAACTAGATACTACTATAACTACTGCTGATGCTACGTCGAAAGACTACATTATTCGATTTTAGTCTTGTGTAATAATCATATTTTTTTGTGTCCATATATAAAAAATTATAGATATCTCTGAGAATAGTTACTACAGATACGCGGTCAATCGATTCGATAAAGAAAGGCCATAGCTGAGTCATTTACACCTTTTCTGCTTCGTAAATAAGCAAGAAGAGGAGAATCTTCGACGTGTAAAAGAGAAGGACAAACGCTTTGATACACGCCTCATGGTACGTGTGAGAAAAAAAGAAAGAAGGAGAAAGAAAGCATATCGTGTATACAGCGTGTTCGAACGACGCGTAGGCACATATTGAACGAATGCCCAAATTGGTGGGGATGTGAAGCTGACACGCATTTATATGGGTTATAGCGAATTGACTTAGAGAGAGAGAGAGAGAGAGAGAGAGAGAGAGAGAGAGAGAGAGAGAGAGAGAGAGAGAGACAGACAGACAGACAGACAGACAGACAGACAGACACTTATTTTAAATTGTGTCAAAGATGCGGTCAAAAAAATAAGAGAAAAGACGATTAAATTGATAAATAATTTAATTGAGAGAGGGGGGGGGAGAGAAAGAGAAGGACTTCCATTATATAAAATTTCATTAGGGTAACAATGCATATGGTTTCACAACTGTGGTCAAAAAAAAATTGATTAAATTAATAAATAATTAATTTTGAGAGAGGAAGAGAGAGAGAGTGAGAGAGAGAGAGAGAAAGAGAAAGGTAGGAGTTTGTTTATATCTAGGCAGCGAAATGTAAAGGAAGATAGGATGACAGAAGTATGTGCATTTTTCGTCACAGGACGAGCAAAATGTTTTAAAGTTTTATAATTTGGCTTCAATGTACCAGATATTTTTAAAACAAATATAATTAAAGATTTTATACATAATTTTTTACAATTTGATATCTGGAAATCCATTTATATTATTATTGATACAAATGAAGAAGAGAAAATAATAAAAAGAAAATACTACCAAATGTCGATGAAATATTACATTTTTTGATAATCCACTTACAGAAAAAGATTAGTTCTTTGAAAAAGACAGAATCATGAATGGATACGAATGCGTAATTCATAAATTTTTTTTCAACCAACTTTATTTACAATCTGTCTACGAAAGTGACAATAAGTAAATTTTATATATGCGATAAAATTATACCTGAAGGTATTTACCTTCATGTATAATATTAAATAAAATATAAATACCTTCAGTGATCCGTATCATTACCGTTACATATTTACATTATATTTATAAATTAATTTATAAATAACACGAAACAATTACAATCAATCTTGTTATTATGTTGACCGTAAATGTTGATCCCATTTTTTTTTTCGAGTAACGCATAGCGAAAAACAGTCCATTTCTCAACAAGAATTTTTTTTCATTTCTACAGCTCTCATCTTCAAAGCTATACTAAGCCGCTGGGAATATTTGACCCACCTTTACCTAAATATTTCTGTGCAATATAGACTCGAGCCAGAAGTGAAACTCGAAACGGTTACTGTACAATTTAGTTAATATATTTTTACGATAAATTTTAATATTCCAAATTATGTTTATTTTTTACAATTTAAAAATCTTTTTCATCAAAATTCTACAAAACTATATATGTGTAAATTGTAATTTACAAAAATTGTTTTTACAACTTTTCATTTTATCAATTGAAAAGAAATAATTTAATTAATCTGTATAAGCGCAAGTGGATGGTTCGTAAATGATATGGTCTTATTTAATGCATAATTAATGGTGGTATAAAGATTTTCACGCTATTTATCAAACATTACTGCTTTAGCAATCCATGGCCATTGATTATCAATTAATGAAAAATCATTATAAATTCGTTAAATAATGTACATAAAACATTTGAAAAATAATTTAGGCTAAATACATAAATAATAGAAGCTACATTATTAGTACTAATAGACTTAAAATGTTGATTAAATTTTTTGATAGCTTTCAAAATACACTATTCCTTTTATTGTCTATATTTACAGTAATATTTTAATCAAACCATGATAAATAAAATTACTCATATATTTTTTTATTGTCGCAATGTAAAATGTTTTATAAATATTGATATTTTCGAAAACGTGAAAATAATTTTCCAAATTTCCCATGAATAAATTTCATTTCTGAACACTTAGTGACTATTCATAATTTAAATAGAAAATAATTTTTATTTGTCTTGAAAACTTAGATATCGCTTAAATATTTTCCGTGGTATCCTGTACAGTAAAATAAAAATATTCTATGACATCGGATTCCAATGAAAAAAATTTTGCATAGAATTGGAAAAATTTATCAACAGTTATGTAGAATCGTTATTGGACATAGCGGCTTTCTAAAAACTTGTCGAACAGTTTAATAAAATTTTTTTGGGGATCCAATAAGCTATAGAATGGCCTAGACATTGGTGGTGGGGCTTATTAGAATTTCAAAAACGTACGATGGCCCCTTTCGCTCTCCGTAATAAAAGGCAGCATCTCGATTCAGTCGATCAGTTCCGATACGATCGTCGTCGTTCGAGTAGCTCAAGTCTGAGTTAAAAGTCTCTCTAGGTGACTTTATACTATTTTAATACCATTGTCGGTGAAGTGCTTCAACGTAGAACCAAGATGTTAAGATTCGTGGTTTTATGTGGCCTTGTCGCTGCTACCTTCGCTGCTCCAGCTCAAGAACAGCAAGCTTCTTTCCTCGAAGATGCTTATAATCTATACAACTCGTGCTCTGCAGAAGCTGACATTGCCGTTTGCTTGAAACTCAAAGCTCTCGGTTTCGTTGATAGAGCCGCCAGGTCTGCTCAAATTGAAGTTATCGATGGATTCAAAATCGTACAGAATGAAGACGCGAAAAGGTGAGATTACATTTTATTAAGTTATTTGAAATTTTTTTTGTCGGTAGCTCGGTAAACCTTCCATAAAAGTTATTGTTCAAAAGTTCACTTTTATCTAACCTTTTCTTTTCGTACGTAAAGTGAAATAACACTAAAGCAGAAGACACTAAATTACATTCCGTAGTTGCAATTACTTATATCTCACCGGAAAATAACGAAGGATTATATTAGAGTGATGCCCGAGGAAACGTTAATATTAAGGACATTTGCATTTTGGTTGCAGTCGTGTCGAAAACGCCAGGTCTTTAAATGAAATCGAAGCTTCTCTGCCTGTTGAGATTGAAGCTAGAGATGCTGCCATTAACGATGCTCTCGTCGACAGAGCTGCCCGTTTCCTCACCACTCACACCATCGAAATCAGCTTACCCGAGGAAGCCCGATCCCTCGAAGAATGTAAGTATCTTAATTATCACGTCGGTCGATTGTTTTTTGCAAAATTGAATGAAAATTAAGATTGTGTTTCATTTGTTGTTACAGCTCGTGGCAAGAAGAAAAAGAAGCAGATCATGGAAAATCTGAAATCCGCCCTTTCGCTTTTGAAACTGAAGGCTGCCCTCTTCCTCCCAATTGCCATCATCGGATTTAAACTTCTTGTCCTTAAGGCTTTGGTGTTCAGCAAGATTGCCCTCATCCTCAGTTTGGTCTTGGTTGTCAAAAAATTCCTCGAGAAGAGGAACGTGGGTGGTCACGAAAACACTCCCCACGATGTACCATACCATCATGACGAATACCACGGCGCCGGATATGGACGTTCACTCGAGATGGCCTACAGTGCTCACAAACCTGCCACCGCCTAAATAGTGACGAGGTTGCTGTTAAATATACTTCTTATCCGGAACGATCTGGAACTGAGGAAAAGAATAACGCGAACGATGACGACTGTGACACTTAACTGCGACTGACTTTACTGTGACGTGACTATTTTGCTTGTTGTTGTTTGCTGTTTATGGTTTTTGCCAAACATTCAGTTTTTACCAAGTGACGATATATAGCATTAGACAAAGAACGGATCATCGACGAGTTACTAGAGACAAAGAGACTTTTTGAGGAAGTTTTTTACGTGGACGTTTTAAGACAGCTAAGACAGTAACGACATATACAACTTGTGCCCTTAGTTCTTGTTTTCTAACGCATTTGAAGAACTTATTTATTTCTCTGCGATTTATTTTTTTTTGTTGTTTTTCTTTGTTATATTTATACTAAGCTACTGATTTGCATGAACAAATGTCGATCACGTTTCTTATTAGAAATAAGTAGCTTTTTATAAATATCAACTTCAATTATGAATTGATAACATATCTATGTTATGAGGTGTTATATTTATTTAGATAGGTAGATGAAACTAAGTATCTCGCCTTTTATCGATCGGTTACGGTACTATGTTGTTACAATATAATCACACAGATGAAATACAATTGACGTACCATAAGACACAAACTCTAAGTATGCAAAGATTTGACTCGAGTAACAATAATTACGAGTTCTCAGGAAATATGCTCTGAAGTAGGTTATCGAGGTCATCGGAATCGTATCTATAACTGGATATGATTCAGTGCGATTGACCTGTAGTCAGTATTCAGATTATGCTACTGAGTAATCGTGTCGAAGAATTATTTATATTTAAACCGGTCCTTCTTGCCCGGATCAACAATGTAACTTATGATTTATTTATAAATAAAATTTAATAATTTTTTTATAAATCTCTGATATTTTACTTTATCTTAAACTTATTAAGATGCAATCCTTTGTCCTGATGACCAATGTCTTTCAATGGAATTTTTCTTAAAAAAGTTCAGAATTGATACCTCGACCTATCAACTATTAGCAACATCATTTTTGTTAAGGTTATCTTAAATAAATATTTGCAGTTAAACTACAAAAGTAGTTTGTTACAACAATAACTTGATTGTATAATTATACCTGTTTGGAGAAGGCAGTAAGTTTTCCGATATCCTACATTCTCTAAATTGTGGTTGCGAAATAACTGAATAGCCGGCAAGGGAGCGTCGCGTGAGAGCTTAAGTAAAAGTTAATAGACGACATCTTCCCATGGCAATGTCGTCGCGACATAAATTAAATATCGCTCAGAAGGAAAGTTGTGCCTCGCACACTATCTTCGATAATCAGATAAGCCCTGCCAGAATACATCACTTTCGTACGACGAAAGAACAATATTGCTTATATTGTTCTGTCGGTAGTTAGCCGGAACTCTTCGGGTGCATCCGGTGTGTCCTTTCCCATGCGGGCGAGAGAGGACACATCGGACATCATAGCGGATGTACCATGAGTGTACGAAATACATGCACGCAGGAAAAGTACTTTGTTCGTTGCCTTTACTTTCGCTTGCCGCTAATCTGCCAAGTGAAACCGATTGTTGTTCCCTCGTGTGTGAACGCCCTGAGAGAGTATATAGCTTCGCTCCCCAGGATCAAGGTATAGCAGTTTTACTCGAGACCTCATGGAGGAGTGAAATTTCCTTCTTCATGAAGAGATTCAGTTCTATTGTTTACATGCTACGAGCTCGTCGTTCATTGCAAGTCTCAGCATTTTATTTTCGTTCTTCAGAGAGTGATTGTTAAGTTAACAAAGTGATGTGTGATCGGAATTTATCATATTTAAATTATCAAATTTAAAGATTAATCCAAAAAATTCGACGAGAAATATTATGAATCAGTATTAACTAATGAAAATCTTTGGCTAAAATTTAAGAATGTTAATAGGTTTCAATTATTAAAATTATTAAAATAATAAATACATGGCATTATCCTGTCGCTTCTTCATTTATATAACGATACGTTACAAGCCGCAAGTCCAAAAGTAAGAGAAATTGACTTCAAAGTAAGTGATTCTCATGTGAGAAAAAAAGTGTATAATTAAAATTCAAGGACACTAACGGTATTTTCTTTAAAAGTGTATCTTTGGACATCGAATAAAACGTATATTGAAATTGAGTTGGCCTCTGTGATCTCAAAATCAATATTCAACGCTAAATATTCGAAAAAGAAAAAAAAATGAAGACAATTTTTCACTACACACCTTTCTTCGCTCTCGTATCCGCTGGTCTAACGGTAATAATGAATCCTGACTCATCAAACGATCATCATCAGTTACCCCCAGATCTGCTGCAGATAGAAGAACCACGAACCTTCAATGAAGCTCTACGCAATTGTTTCGCTAAACGAAGTTACAGCACATTCGAGTGCGTTAACAGAGGTGCATTAACAGCCCTGCAATCCTGGAACGATGACGAGTGTTTAGACTTTGGCAGTGTAAAATTGGAGCGCAATTCTGGGGAAAGTCGCAGTCTATTAGATCTCGATTGGGATCCCAAAGATTTTGGCAACGTAGTAAGGGCAGCCTCGAGATTACTGGAGCGTAGAAATATGAAATGGGATCTTGGGAATGTTTATCCAGGACTGCAGATGCGCGTAGGCCCAACTTTGTCAGCGGGAAGTGGCATTCTTGAATTCGTGATGGACGAGAGGAGTCATCATCATCTCCATAATAGGCAGGCCGCCACCGGTGAGTGAGTGAGCGCGCCAACGCAAAAGAGTGAGAGCGAGATAAGATGCCTCGTAAAAATTTTCGAGAGATCCGAAATTTACGGGAGGCTGTTAGCCGCCTGTGAACAGTTATGATTTGTAGGTTAATCCTCGAACTGTGGTTTACGCACACCTATATTATACTCGATGCAAGTCTTGCGTTATTTATTGCACGCGCGCCTAATAGTCAATGTTCGAAGCATCGGAAACTGCTGGAGTTATTTTTTTTAAAGCATGCTTTAAATTTTTCTTTTGTTAAAATCTTTTTGATGAATTAAAATATTATTGTTCGTAGTATAATCTACACATGTTGAGATCGTAATGAAATATCTACGTCAAATGGTTCTGATACTGGAAAGTAGAATTTTCAATAATTTTATATAAATATTAATAAAATTATTGTTACTTATTGAAAAAGCGGGCTGATATTGAATAATGAAAGTTTATTTTACTGTTGCTTAAAAATCATTTCCATACAGAGAACAACAGCAACTTTTCTCATCTTGGATTTCTCGATCTGGACCTTTATTTTGTAAAATATATTATTTACTAAAAAAAATGAATAGCATTCATAGAGTCAAAAGTGAAAAACGATAATCAGTAGATTGCGTATTTAGACCATGAATGTATTTGGTAAGTCCATAGAACGTAATAATTAACAACCGAGGTGAAGTCAAGATTGTCAAACATGCGCTGTGGGCTTGTCGATATTCCCGGCTGTGGTTTTTATGCTATTTTTTGTTCATCAGTCTCACTAGGCAAAAAAAATACTATACGGCCTATGGCCATCGTATTCACAAGCCCATAGCGCTTGTAAATTGACACCCGAATCGAAGCCGAGTATTTGTAATTTTCCAATGAACGAATCGCTTATTCAATAAACTTAATTTTTTAATTTTTAACAACTTAAAAATAACAAAAACAAAATAAATAAAAAAATTTCGTTTGGTTTCATATTCAAAATTTTTTACAATAGTAATATTGTTCAATAGATGAGATCTAAAACTATGACCTTATGGAGTCTTCAATTAAGATTTTGAAACGCGTAACATAATAATTGAAGTTAATGTCATAATAAAAAAGTGACGATATCTTTATTAGCAGAATTGTTAAACAGTAATAAAAATAATTTTTAATTTTCATTATTTAATGTTTACCGAACCTTTAATGAATTAGTGCTTTTTGGTAAGGTAATGTATGCATAAAGTTTTTTAATAACTATTTCTTTTTTTACATACTGTATATTCTAAAAAACTACTTTTAATGAAAATATCCAGTTAATTATTACGATAATTACAAAATATATCATAAAATAAAAATCTATTAAGTGCTCTTAAAGTTCCGAGCCACTTTTATTGCGTATAAGTGTCAATAAAGTTGAAAAACGAAATGACATTCCACAGATGAAATAATTCCAATGTAATTTCATTTATTTATTATAAAAAAATTATATATTAATTTTCTTACATACTTGTATAACTTTCTAAATCTCACTCTAGCGGCCAACGACTGAAACTCGTCTGGCTAACGTTGCTTTTAACATTATTTGAGAGTTTATGAATACAATTCAATATAATTTACTATAAATTCATAACTTTATCATGAATAATAATTTCTACTATATAACTTGGTTTGTAGTAATAAAAAAAATTGATTTGCGTGATATTTATTAATATTTAAATTACCATTCAAAGTATTGACTCATAATTTATTACCGGTAAACTTGAGTTTACAAGCATCAGTAGCTGCAACTTGTTAATCAAAATTATCACTCACAAACATTTAAACATTGAAAAAATTGAAAGAAAAGCAACTAATCTATGTATGTACACGAAATATGCATTGTACCTGCTCGCTCGCGGACCAAAGTCAGTATGTATACCGACAGTCAACCTTTGATACCGACGAAAGTAAAATTCAAGGCTACCCGCGGTCATTACCACCTGTAAGCTCCGTTCTCCAGGCGGCAGCACATTCAAGGCCGCTGGTAATAACCGCGAGTAGATGTTCCTTAACTCTCTGCTTTACCACTTACAGGCAGACTTTTAGTAAGACAACTAGTGCTGCCGTTTTTGTTGGGTTTCAAGTTTAACTTGGCCTCCCTACTGCCTCTACTTTTTGGTATGCTGATAATTATCTCGAAGAAAGCCCTGCTGTTAACCAAAATCGCCCTCTTCATCGCCGGTTTTCTGGGTTGGAATTCGCTGTTTGGCTCTGGGGGAGTCTCGGCTGGCGGCTACATTCCTAACGGTCTCTGATTTTGCATTTATGCACGCTCTCGCTGCGGGCGGAACTCACGTGAATTCTTTGGGCTTCAGGTGTGGCAGTTAGACATTCACAAGCGGGATTATTCTTGAGCGGTAGGAACGTACTTTCGATAAGAGTAATTGGAATTCTCGGCTTAAAGAGTTACGTTTTCGACGAGTGGAGGCAACTGTTGTTGGAAAATGGTTTAATTCACAAGCTTTTTAATTCCTCCGAAAGAATAATTTTCGCATCAACAAATAGCTGCAACATCTGTTGATGCATCAAGTATGACCATTAGCAACTTGCACTCGATTTGTAATCTTTTCTAATCCCCGCACGCGCGTGATCACAATATAAAAGAATGTGCGCACGATGGCCACGCTCCGATTGAAGCCCACGTAAATCACGATTTTTCCTCAGCGCGCACCATGGAAATAAAACACTAATGTGGCTGCTCTACAATTGCAGCTTTCAATGGTCTAAATAACTATAATGGCTACGGGAGTGGTGGAAACGGTGGACCTATTGGCGCTGTAGGTTTAGGTGCTAATATTGTTCAAGATCAGAATTATCCATTCCAACCGTATCGACAGACACCTGATCCTAATGCTGGATTTCCATTTGGACAACATGTCATCCGTGAAATTGTCAATGTGTACGAGAACGCTAATCAGGAAGCTGAGGAGTCCGAGAGGAGGAAAAAGAGCTTCGTGTGGACTAGAAATGATTCTTGAAATAAATTGTAATATTTACCCAACATTTTATAAAGAATATTTTTTCATGCTCTTTTATTTATGTGTTTTCACGTTGATCTAGGATATATATGTTTAAAAATATGAAAGAGTTAGTTGACAAGGTAAATAGGATAGTGAAAATACCATTGTGCTAATATCTTAATGTTAGAATTCGAATCCGTTGCATTCACAAAATAGCTAAAATCACGCGAACTTCCGTAATTTAAGAAAATTACATAATTAAACTCTGATGAATTATTAATTTTTTTCAATAACCCGTGGCGTATTTTATAATACCGTTGAAACATATACCAATGAAATTCATTGCTTTATTCTTCTAGTTAAATACGCATTGACGTTATAAAAAAGAGGTATTTTTGTAGCAAATTTATATGAAATACCATATTTTCAGTTTGAAAATTCATTTGAAACGACCAAAGAATCACCAATAATAAAAGTTAAAAATTCGTTACTAAATATAAAGGTCTTGCATTATAAGTCCTTGAACTAGATTCTCCATGATGTTATTCTCATTAGAAATTAATGGCCTTTTAAACTTGCACGACGTTGCGATAAGAAGGAGTCGGTTTTCCTGGTAATATAACAAACAAAGCAAGTAGTGCAGTAAAAGTGACTACTCGTCTCCACACCGCTCTGCTGACATAATTGGATTATCATACACTTATGAGAAAAGAAAAAATATATGTGCCTGCATTAGATTCCCGTGACGCCGTGGTCCAATAAAAAATAAAAACCAGGATCTCGCATAATATTGAAGTCAGTAGAGCTCACAGCTGCTGCCTGCTGGCCAATTACAGTCAAATAACTTCTCGCGCCTACTCGCAATTCTAGCTTTCCGTTCCGTTTCCGCTTTCACTGTCGTTTTCAAACTCGCGCTCGTGCGATTACCCAGAGGGAGTTTCTGTACAAGTATGATCGCGATTATTTGATTGTATGCAAGTGAGTGAAACAATGATAAAGCAATATAGAGAAGAATGAAATGAAAGACACACAAGACGGATGTTCTTACACCGTTCGCTCTCTGGGTGTCTCCCTATTAGTCTCACTCTATTATCGCGCACTACGCGAACTCAGCAAATCTCGTCTAACTGTTTTATTTATTACCTTGTGTGGTCGTGCCGAGATTCAACTTTTTTTCAACTTGCACGATCATATACTTTTGTCGTGGTTTTTTATTCAATCATAAGCTAACTCCTCACAAATTATGCATCGTTGTTTTCTTTCATTTCACGATTTGCAAATATGACTATTTCTACATCTCAGTGTGTACTTATATGTATTCCATCAATATTTAATATTCTAAAATTCTAATTTCCTGAAACTTCAATCTTAATAAACTATTTCAATTACCTCGTCATCGAAATCCATTATGACAAATCAATCTTCTGTTTATATCGTATAAAAAATTACATTCAATACTTTATCTTCTCGAATTGAACAATAATGAAGCTCAATTGGAAAGTTACGTCAAAAATAAAAAGAAGAATTTTCAATATCACGCCTCAGCTGGCATCATGAATATGCTGGCTAATGTACATCATGAAACCCGACGAATTTCTCCCGACTATTAAACACCTTTATAGTTTCCCCGACCCAATTGCTCTGCACGCGCGTCAAATCTACGTGCGAAGCCCATATATCGGGTAAATAAATTACTTCATCTCTCTCTCTCTCTCTCTGTCTCTCTGTCTCTCTCTCTCTCTCTCTCTCTCTCTCTCTCTCTCTCCCTTTCTCTGTTTTGATTACGAGAGTACACAAACTTTACCAACGTATTGTAGAAAGAGAAAAAGATTTAGATCATTCAGGCACACAAAATTTCGGAACGCGAATAGAAGCCAGTTTTTGTGAACGTGCAGTTTCGGTCTTCTCTTGACTCGATTTCTTTATATAATTGTGAAAGAGCGTCACTGGTAGTTTTGTGTAATGAAGTAAAGAAATGTTAATGGAACTTAGACTAAATAAATTTATCTCGACTGTCAGTTTTTTGTATGTGATGCGTGATTATGATTGCATAGATGTGAATCCTGGGAATAGGAACGTAATGCATTTACTTTTACGGCTAATGATAATTTGTAATGAGAATCCGGCAGACTGTTTTTCAAGCAACTTCAATTTTATACCCGATGCTGAATTATTTGTCACGTAATGCTTTTTAGCTAAAATTACAGTGATTTTGATAAAAACTAATCAGAACAGTTTTTTTAAGTAATTAATACGGTTCAAATAGAATATTACCACTTCATTACATTTTCAAATCCTAATCACCCATGTAATCAACAAGATGCAAATAATCTCTATAATCGATATAAGCTTCTGTTTCGCGTGGTTTTTTGTCATTTTTTCGTTCATAAACATTGTATTTCAAATACTTGTAAACTGATTAGATATAACAAAATAAAAAGTTTCTTTTAATGCTATTTAATGATTTCATGACATTTATAAAAAAAAGTTCATGATAACTTTTTCTTTGCGTAGCTGCGTAATTTAAATTGTATCTGGAAATCTATAACTTAAGATCTGTACATCTGCACATGATAAAATCTTCAGTGAAATAAAAACCTGCCTCATGTATACTTTCAAATGACTCGAAATAGGATGCTTTCGTAGAACAACGGAACCAAGCTCAAGATTACTTTGCAAATAAATCGATAATAAACTTTTCACTTAATTTATTTATAAGAAAATTGTAATCATTTTTTAAATGAGAACAATTAATTACTGAAATATAAAATAAATAACGAAAAACGCATAATTTATTGGAAATATTACGTTACGCCCTATAGTTTAAAAAAGATATATTTAAGCCAGTCAATAAAAATGTATCAAAAAATTTTGAATGAAAATATTATTATTTATATAAAAACAATAGTATTTTTTTAAATATAGAAACATTTAAATTCAGTCGTTCAATAACATCTAGTCTTTTGCTTTCTCTATAGTGCATTAGGTTTTTATTTACTTACTGCCGTCACGAACGGTGACACAAAAAGTACCTAACAGAAAAACTCAATTAATTTGCATGTGACGGCAAAGAGACCGTTTCTTACAAGCTGGGACAAACGAGAGAAGATGTTAAAAGTAAACCTCTATTTGAAAGGAAATGAGAAGTAGAGTTGAAACAAAGAGCGGAAAAAAGAAGAAATTCTGCTTTGCGCGTTCGCCTTGCAAATGACATAATTCGAGCTTGCTCAGTGGGTTAAATGCACGATATATGCTCATGCGCCGCTAGAACACAACAACCATTTATGCGTGAACTCACGGAAAGAGAGAATCAATTACCTTGTGCTCTCTCGTACAAAATGTACTTATATTACCAGAGGCTGCGGTTGGACATTTATAACGCATGTACGCGATGCCGCGGTGCATTTGATTATACAGACTTACCGTGTTTACATAAAATTCTTGGGTTTGTACTGCGTTTTGCATAGGATACCATCTTTTTTTTCTTACGAATCAGGGTCAGTGAGCCAATGGATTCCTTTATTGGTCATGATCAATTTCTTTGTTTTTTTAGTAGTAAAAGGCAGCTGTGGTCAAACATGTGTTTGTGTATAACGATATATCGAAATCCATTCGAATAGAAACTTTTGACAATTAGCGATGCCGTTAATGACTAATAGGAAATTGTTTTTCCCTAGAAGAAACTACAATTTTAAAGTTACACATTAGTAATAGAATTTCATTCGTTTGGTTGGCATCCAATTAAAAATATTTTTCTGACTAAAGCAGTTTGCGAGCTAATTATGTCAAATGTATATCGTTTATTGAAATTTTGAATGAAAGAAATCTAAAGTTTAATTTAAAAGTAATGAATTCGTACGTCATTATATCAATATATCTTGATATTACCGTAACATCGTGACCATCGACAAAAGTTATTGTCTTAACATTTTTGTTCAATGCCACAGGATTTAATTTAAAAAAATTATTACTGCATTGTTCCAGCTACACTGTGGTAATACATAAATTCAAAACATAAAAGTTTGATCTCAAAGCACTTGCTTCAACGCGGTCTGATTTCTCTGATCTATTTCATATAAAATCTCCATTCTTCTCGATGTTTGAAATTCGTAGAAAGTAGTGAAATAAGTCGATCAATCAGAAATATTTTAAACGATACGTTATTCTAGGTCTTTTTTTTTAATTAATTCGAATGTTTGACAATGTATACTGTTATTATTGCTATGATTAGAAAATAATCGTGTCGTTTAGTTTTCTATTAATTGATTTAATTAAATCCTATAGACATCTTGTACTGATGTCACATCTCACGAACTATCTCTTTGTTTCACAATTAAAATAATATTATTATCATTCGTAGTGTTTTTCATTATATCTTTTGTACTTTAATATTCAAATTTATTTTCATATACATGTTTATCATTGTAAGAAAAATCAATATTTAATTATAACAAGGACAAATGTATCAAAAGATAATATTGAATATCAAATAAAAATGTGTATTACAGATTGCTTTCTCTATTTAGCGACAATACAAATCGTACGAACAAGCAGCAGTAGTAAAAAACAATTAGCGAGGATCAAATCCAACAAACATTAATTAATCTATGCACATGTCATTCACATCCTCCGTCAAATTTCCATCCTACCCACAGGGAGAAAAAAAGGATTCCATATAGAGTGAAGCTCGCATTGCGTCGGCTCGTTTGGCAAGGGGGTCATCAGGATGCTCCAGCAGCACTCGAATTGTTTTGCTTGAGGGCTCGTCTTGTGTGTGTGTGTGTGTGTGTGTGTGTGTGTGTGTGTGTGGGTGTGTGTGTGTGTGTGTGTGTGTGTGTGTGTGTGTGTGTGTGTGTGTGTGTGTGTGTGTGCGTGCGAGCGAGCGCGCGCCGCGCCGTGCCGCGCCCCTTCTCCTTGTTGTAGCCGCACGCACCTCGTAGTCGAAGTATATATAAGAGTCTAGGCAGCAGCGTGGCGTTGTTTAATCAGTCAGACGTTCGGGTGCGAAACATGGGTAGGAAATTGTGGCTTCCCGTTGCCGCGATCCTTGTGTTCACGGTAGCTGAAGCTCGTACTCATTCGGAAGGATATGGCAAACTGTTCGAGAGATGTACCAAGGAAAAAAATACATTCGAATGTCTGAAGAAGAAAGCACTTGATATTCTGGATAACGCTATCAAGGATGACACGGTTTACTCTGTCAACGATTACATATCCATCGGTAGAGATGCCAATGCTGTTAAAAATATCGAGTTGCGATCGTTCAACGAGAATTTGACTCAACAGAGGAGCCTCGATGACGAACTGGATAAAAAGTTTCATGATTATCTAACTTCTAGGAGCATCAAACTCACAATTCCTGGAGATGCTTTCGAAGGTATGACACGCGCTTTTTATAATTAACGTATGAGTTGTACTTTTTGATTTACCAATATTTATTTTTTCATATTTTTTTTACACGAACCGCGAGTTCGACTAAATGAATAAATTTTTATTTCATATTACTTTGTTGTTCAAATATTGCGATATAGCTTTACTCTTATACGAATCATTAGTTTGTTTAGTGCGCAATTTGATAACACATGTAAACTATCTTGGAACGTAAGGTGATCTAGTGTAATGAACGAAAAATGAAAAAATTAAAGCTTCAAACATTATTATAATAAAAATGAATTTCCATATGACTAGTAATAATAAAATAATAAAAATACTACTTTTCTATAACAGGAAGAGGGAAGAAGGACAAGAAGGGTGGCATGAGTGGTCTTATGATGGGTGGGCTGGCACTTGCAGGTAAACATAATTTTTTATCATTCAATATATTTGATATTTTAAGAATGCAGCAATTTGTATATCAAACTATTATCGATGTGATTTGAACGTACATTGTTATAAATATAATAGAAGATGATTTTTCAGTAGAAAATTAATTGGAATCATATTACATAAAAGAAAATTCTTCAAAAATTTGCTGCATTCAGTTGAGAATATTTTTTACACGATCTAGTGAACTAATTTTACAAAAATCACACGCATTACTATATAATGCATAATTGTATTAATTGCATTCATATATTATTTGATTAAACTGATATTATTTGATCGGTCAATATAATTTGTACTTGATATAGTGTGTTAATATATCATTTATGACAGACAATAAATTGTGACATGTGTCGTATGTGTCGTAATAATTTTGTTGAAAATACATTAAGAATATAATTTTTGAAAACATAGTAGTACTTTTTGTAATCTCATAATTCATTTCTACGCCAGATAATCTCTTACAAAAAACCGTAACATTTTAAGAAGACTATCAGTAAAAAATACCTTCATAGAGATGATAATCGTCTCTTTACGTTAAGATAATGCTCAGAAAAACCGGGTTAAGCGTAATTAAGTAAAACAGAAGCTGAAATCTATGTAGGCCGTCTGAAAGTGCTTGTCTTCTTGCACTTATATCACATAAACCGTTTTTTCCCTCTCAAGCAATTCAGTTCTCTCAAGGTTTTCACGTCTGTTCTTGATTTATAAGCAAGGCAAACCAAACGTCAATCAAATATTTCACCTAGTATTTCATCGAAAGTTCAATTATCTTACACCTAATAATCGACTAACCTTAATAACGGTCTATCATTTTACTATCCTCTCATTAATGGGTAAAAAGATCACTCACCTCGAGAGCAGCGCACACATATCGCGAGAAAAAAAAATAACAGTTATGCGCCAGCACATAATAACTAGCGAACGGCAAATTTGTAACAAGCATTAACCTCGCTTCACTTTTATAATCGTAGGTATGTTAGCGCAGCTGGCTTTCGGTAAGATTGCTTTCCTAGCAGGAACAGCATTGCTTACAGCGAAGATTGCGCTTGTGCTGAGTGCAATTATCGGCTTGAAGAAACTTGTCTCAGGTGGTGGTGGTGGTCACGAGGTGATTTACGCCACTGCAAGTGAACATCACGGAGGTAGTTTTGGAGGTGGATGGCAACGTGCTCTCGATGCCATACCCATTACCTGATTCAGTCAATTAAGATCCGAAGACGTGAGCGGACGAGACGAAAGAGAAAAAGAGATAAACAATCATCTTGAAACCCTCGCCACACTTTTTGTTAGCTAGGCTACTCATTTCATCTGCACTCGAGTCATCGTCGCACCTGTTCATTTTTTATTTATTTATTTTATTCATTGTTTATTTATTGACGTTCCGAATGTCAGATTCGAGGATTCGGTATTGAATCATTATTGGACGGGTTCGGAAGAGAACAATAGTTTTATTGCCAAATTATGTAGCGACTGAATTTTATGCAGTTGACCGATAATTTTATGAGAAGAATTCGGGTAAAAATGAAAGAAATTTAGTCTATGTATTCCAATAGTGGTCCAATACCAGTGAAAGTAATTGACTGAACGCTGAACGACGACATTATAATATTTCATAAAAATACTCAGATGACCTGAATATTTGTACTTTAAAAGTATACTTATCTTACAGTATTGCCATTTTTTACTTTTATTAGATACTTTGGTTTTTTCTTTTCCTTAGCCGCTCTCTACTTTTGTCTTTTAAGAATAAAAATTTATAAAATTATAGCTTTTCTAGAAACTTCCGTGCATGAATAACTCATGCTGCATTGTAAAATATATAACTCACAACCATAACTATATAATGAGTACTAGTGCATTACTTTTAAGGTACAAATAATGACTGACTTGTTACTACTACTACTACGCGTCACACCAAAAATTTACTTTAAAAAAAAGTTTGAAACCAATGTAAAATACATGTACTCTGTTATTATTACTGTAAAGTGTTACACATAGAATAAAAAAACGGTTAACCACGTTACGAATCTGTTGTTATTAACGAGTCTCATGTTTATGACTGACAATAAATACACTTGATTATTTTGTCCGGCATATATTCATTACAAACCTTCATATTACATTGATTGGTGGTAAATTCATTGTTTTTGATTTTCTATGGAATACAGTTCTATCAATATACTATTTCAAATTGCAATAAAGATTATAACCAAATGTGAATTACTCGTGAGTATGTATTCAATAAAAAATTCAATGAGTTGTTCACGCCATAATAAGTCGCCAACATTCAGCGTTGTGATTAATGGATGCAAAAGAGCGCAAAATTTTTAATTTTCGTGTATTTTGAAATATTTTTATTATATATCTAAGGGTGTGAGATTTATATTTCAGCAGTAAATTCAATACAATTAAGATGGATAATTATCTGTAAGAATGGAAATATGCCGTTAATAAATCATTTCAAGAACATAAGACGTCATGTTTTGAAATTATTATTACAAATCGTTAATTTTATAACCACCTGTGATAGTGAAATTAATAATGTCATATAAAAATTTCGTAGAAAGAGAAAGAAAATGAATAGAATAAAATAGAGGAGAATGCATTTCTATTTTTTGTAAATTTGAAAAATATTAATGAGTGTTTTCATAGAGACAACAAAAAGCACACGATGTTAAACGTATTACTCATACTAATATACATTGGAGCCATAATCACTACTATTGAATTTGTAAAGTTCAGTGTTGTATTATAGTATAACAGCTTTATCGATGGTAGGTTGAATTAATATTTTGGATAATTTATCTTGAATTGAGTAAAAGTTCATCGATTGTTGTGGAAAAATGAGTAAAATTTTATTTTTATTCATTAATGAATATTGATGTATGTAGTCTATTTTAATCAGTAGGACTAAAATAACGTAATAAATGATAGAAAAAACACAAAAGAAAGAGCGTGCGAAGCGTGCTAAATAACACTAGTATAGTAAAAAATAAATATTCCTAAATCTGAAATATACTAGTTCGCACCTACAAACCATATGATAACGATAATTATACAAACCATACTAAATTAATATTCCTTTCTTGGACGTAATTATAGTTTAAGCGCTTCATCATCTCGTGATTTCATAGTCTCTGAACAAATGTGACGCGGCCGTTGTACAGATAGGTGTCGAGATAATTGAAGATATAGCTGCGTGCATGCAGAAGTATCCCATTGTTTTTATAAACTAACACGCTTCGCTGATTCACCGCAGGAGGGAAATCCTAGTAGTTGAGGTGCATTTTCCAAGAGGGCAGCAATAGTCATTCAAAAGCTGTGTTTGAATGTTGTTATTTTTATAATTTACATATTATATTGAAAAAAGCTTTAAAACGAACGCACAATTACATTTCAATTTCGATATTTATATTGAAAAAATTATCTTGAATTATGATTTAGTTTATGAAAATCTGAAATGAAGTGAAATTAATATTCCTACAGTATGATTGTAGTAAATATCAGACTGTCGTATAACTATCATGTATATAATATAACTATAATGAATAAAGTGAATACTTATGAAATAAAACAAATAAAATATTGATTTTGTTTGGATATCTTTCAATATTTACAGGCAAAATAGAGATTCTCGAAGAGAATATATTTTATATTGTGAATATAATTTTGTCATTAATATTCATTATTATATCAATAATAGTGATAAATAAAAAGATTTTATGCCACAAAATTAAATAGCAACCACCATCGATTCTTTTTCAAGTTTTTGACAATGTAAGCATGATCAATGAAAACGAAAATGTTACGATAATTTTTTTATAATTCGAAAGGCATGTTGAAACTGTAACTTATAAAATGTTAACTTTCAATATGTTTGTCTTATCACATAAAAGTTTTTAAATCTGCAAAAACGGTAGTCTAACTGATATTCTTTTTCATAAGATTTATGAAATCAATGAAAAATGTAGATATGTGTTCGAAATGTTGAAAATAGTCTATAATCGCGTTGATAAAAGAAAAAGATTAGGTATGTCCTAGAGTAGGATGTACGAGCATCCCGTGAGTCCAGCTCCAAGAGTTTACTTTTAGAGGCTGTTAGACCTCGAGAGGAAACCCTACTTTTAGGAATTATAAGTCATCAGGTACGGAAGGGGAAAGCTGCAAAGCTGAGCCTTAGTTCGGTAAGGAACCGAGCAACCGAACAAGTGAGAGAGAAGAGCATTTGGAAGTGCGTCCGACTGCGTGCGTATCAAGGTCCAAGAAAATGAGACAATATAAGCTGGCGGTCGTGTGAACTCCAGTTAGTTACACATCGTCAACCGAAGCAGACAAGTCACTGTCAACCATTGTATATCGCGATTTTCACTGTTCCTTGTGAAGTTTTTTCTTTGTAAACCGGAATCGTTTCAGTTTTCTTGAAAAAAAAAAAATTTTTTGTCATCGAATTGTGTCTGATTATTTCTGCCTCTAGTTGTTCCTTACAATATGCATATGGTTTTAAAAGATACACTATGAGGCTGAATCAAATAAAAATGTCACAAGTATCATCATATTCGCTTTTTCTTACCATGTATCATTTAAAATATGACATAAGAAAAAAAACGTACCTTTTCTTTTTTAATACGAAATATATTAGTTTGTGACTGCGAACAATTTCGTAAGCCTTATTCTGAGCTTTACAATTGTTCAAATGTATTATTTGCTTTTTTATATCAATTAATAATACAGTAACGATCAATAAAAGTTTTTATTTATGAAAAGTATTTATGAACTATGGTCATATACTACGAATAAAAATATAAATTTTATATGTATCACAAAAAGATGCTGTAAATATTTTCGAATCAATATATGTATAATAATAATACAACAGGGTAGTATTTTGAAAACAGTGACACAAGTCATGCACAAAGATATTATACAATAAGATAAATAACAAATATATATCATGTATTTATAATTGAAACCATACGAAAAATTCCATATTTCGCATAGATACAATGCTTTCAACAATAAATAATTCCTTATATTTTAGATTCCTGTATTTAAACAAGATTGCTTGCGGAATTATTGAAACGTTTTATATTTAATTTGAAAAAACGACTAAAATGAATTCAATTTTTTAATGAATTGATTGAATTTGAAGAATTTGACTACAATTAATTTGATTTTTCTCAACAGCAATGAAGAGCTCATTTGCTTAGCTGAGTGGCGTAGTCTTTGTACTGTCGATATCGCGACATGGCGAACGTTAATGGAAAAAATAATAAAATCGGAATATGATAGATAAAAAAATTTATCGGATCAACTCTCGTCTTCTACGGCTGCTACCTTCGTAACCACCGCTTCCATGGTCGTAGTCGACGCTGGAGCTATGTGTGTGGACGCTGCTGTACTGTGGATGTTTTACTATTTCGTACGAGGTTTTATGTTCTGGAGAACATACAAAAAAATCACTTACTCAATAATTAAACACAATTTTGAAATAAGTTAATCTTGCTTTTGTTCTTATGGACTAATAACGTAAATAAAATTTATTATAACCTGAAATTTATATGGGAAATCTTTCAATTGCATAGCTACGTGCCTGGTTCAACTTTGTGTTCTACTGTAACATCTTGAATTTGGAAAAATTCAATTATTACTGAAGTTGTCAATTACTTTAGTAATTACTTTTTGGAGAAGAAATTGAGATAAGATTGCGAAAAGTTGTGAATTTACAAATCATATTGAAATTGAATTTGGTGGTATAACTGTGAATAATGAACTGACCAATGAGTGAACTATAAGTCGGCTACTATTGTACTTATGCAAATTATTGTTATGAAGAAGATAAGAGTAAAGAAAATTGAAGTATATGTTGAATGAAAAACGAAATGAATGGTGAATCAAGACTAAATTTACCACATAAGAGAGTAAGATAATAAATATTAGACGGCCTTTTAAAAAATATCCTTCACATACCTGAAGATTTCTTAAGTGCCACTGCTACAGCTATCGCTAGTGCAATTTTAGCAACGATAAGAGCTTTACCAGCGAGGGCAGCGACAGCGTGAATCATGAAATACAAAATCACTGCTTTTGTAAATCCAGCAAGGGCCATCATCATTTTTCCATAGCCCTTTTTCTTTTTTCCTTTTTTACCTCTTCCTAAAATTATCAATGAAAAAATGAAATAGTTAATTTGAATGTATTTATATGTTTTTTTTATTCTAGTGATATTAGTTGTATATATAATCATCACTGAAAATTTGTTTTTAAATGGATTCAAAAGTATTTTTAAAAACAATATACGTGTTGAAAAATATTAGGTATGATCCGATAGAATTTTATGTAAATCAATAAATATTTTTATAATTAGATATTCAGACTGATTTATAAGTTTATGTTTCTTCTAGATTACCAGGAAAATTAGATTTTGATACTCTACAAGATATTTAAAATTGTGTAGAATGTGTCAACTCGATAGAAACCACAAAACGATTAGATTATATATCATGGCGTGATAATGGTGCATAAGCTTTAGATTTTATGAAAATCTAGCTATGCACATCATATATAACAGATAAAATGATATCATTAATTATGAAAGTTCCATACTATTATTTATAATTTAACAAAGAAATTGTATAATGTAGATTTTCTGACCATACACTGGTCATATTGTTGTCACTTAATAATGTTCATAAAACTGTAGGGCCGCACTTGTACTTGTCATATCCATAACACAGAAATCAGTACACTAAAAGAAATCTAAACTTCAACTTCCAAAATTACCTTCTTCAATCGCAGTTTCATTTTTATCTTCATTAACATCCTCTTCGTCGGCACCGTTTTGAACACCATCAAGACTTTTCGAAATAGCTTGATCTCTGATATTGGTAATTGATCTATTAACACAACTGACTCCCGTACAACCCTCAATAACATCACCAATCCTCACTCTATCCACAAAACGTTTCAATCCCAACACATTAGACTGCTGATTGGCAGATGTAATAGGCAAACCAGCGGCAGTGGCCAAAAGAGCGAATAGGATAAGCCGCATCCTGAAGACTAACTGGCTACGAGCACGAGCGGCTATTTTTATTTATACGGAGGATGCGGGCACTGGTAATTAACGATGCGGTCGCCTTCTGGGTATACAGAGCGTGAATACATCGCATGCAATATTCGCGCGTGTGCGGGGTCCAGTTCCGCCTCATCTTTATACCTTGCATGATGCTCTTTCGCGTTACACCTATATCCACGTCGATTCGCTAACTGATTTAGATAAGTGCAGAACGGATAAACGGTAGTTTGCTTGCATTCCTATACCTATATCTGCAGTGCTGAGTTGCCGCCGACTCGGGCTAATTGTTACCGAGAAAAGCATTGTATAAATGAAATGTCTGCACTGCTGTAAAGATTCAATAAGGAATTATTTTTCGTTGCTCTCTCTCTCTCTCTCTCTCTCTCTCTCTCTCTCTCTGTCTCTCTACATACACACACACATACATGTGCCCGCTGATATCCGCTAAAAATCTATTTTACTTAGATAGGCCTAAGTAAACACGCAGTGTTATTGTCCCTTAGTTTTAAGTAATTTAATTATTAGTAACTGCTCGAAGAAATAATACAATCACTCGAACAAAGAGTAAGTTTCATACGTGAATGTAAGACTACAGTCATCATTTACTGAAATTGGTCATATATGTCAGAATTGTTTCAAAATAATTCAAAATACATATTCATCAAGCAATCTGCTGAAAGTAATTTTTGTAATTAATCGTTATACTTATGAAACCATAACTGTGATCTAAGATAACAATAAACGAGAAAACTGCATAATACAACTAATTTCCAACTCACTTTTTTGCACTAAACTAATAATAATATAAAAGATAATAAAGTTTCGTCTAACCCCAAAAAACTTACTTGTTGATGAAAATTTATTTACAAAGTAGAGATGTCAAGATAATTAACTGTAGAGTTCATATACTTTATTCCTTAAAATAGTGCAAAGCGTAATTCGTTAAATCTTATGTCTGCTGTAATTAGTTACGTACACTTTATCTAAGAATACTTATCTATAATTTGCTGAGATAATTATTCTAGGACACTTTGAAGTATCGAGTTTATTACATAAATTGCACGAAAAGTAAATAACTAGTAATCAACGTTATATCAATATATAAAGATCTCTTGTATACCATTATACTAACAATATTTGGTTACAATGATCTGATTATATCATTTAAAGCTCAAAATTAATTGTTCCATATATCATACCATCAAGTTATTTTCTCTAGTGTAATTATCGACTGTTTCTACATCTATCAGTTACTCTTTCAAGAGTTCATCTATCACATTTTTCTTACTTACCAAATTCTCATCCTATATGTGTACTACAAATGATATTCTCATAAAACTAAAGAATAAAGTTTCTCAACGATACGACAACAAAGTCGCGCAGAGATAAATGTCTCAGGGTATAAAAAGTTTTATTTTCGAGCGCTATTCTGCGGTTGCACGCGAGAGTAACTCGGCACACTTGCACGCATTAGGCCATTTAATGAATAAACGGGCGCTAACGAAGCGGTCACGTGTACATCGTTTTAAAACCCTCTTATACTTTTCCATTATATGCTTGGTGATAGTCGTAATTTTTCTTCGAGATGCTCCTGTTTTAATTTTTCTGCTTTCAATGAAGTTATCGGAAATTATACCGTTTTTTTGCGTGGTGAAATTCTTAATAGAACATTTTCTGCAGTAGAGAAAAAGTAATCAGGCTGTAAAACAAAAGGAGTTTAAAGAAATCTGTTTTGTTTAAATAATTGAACCATTTATTGAAAGCGAGTATGCATAGATTTAAGATCCTAATTATAAAGTATGTCATCGAAAAAAATCAATTTGTAATATCGAAAGGCTGCGCATAGAAGATTTTTTAATATTGCACTGTTCATATTTTGAGAAAGATACTTAATCATAATTTTATATTTATTTTTTCACCTAAATTTTAGAAAATTTCTATATTCTACACGAAAAAGACAAAACCTTGTAACCTATACTGTTTTTTTTTGTTTTTGTTTGTTAGTCATTTCAAAAGCATAGTAAACATATTTTTTAAATCTCCAATCAAATCCATTTTAATCAAAATAGTTGGTCTAGGACTCTTTACTTTCAACAAGAAAATTTATCACTTCAAAGTATTTAATGAATATAAAGGAACTCGCCAAAAATCTCCCATTTTTTGATCGTTTTATGTATTATTTGAGTTAAAAATAAATTTTTAGAAAAAATTTATAACAACTTTTATGGGACTTTTACTGAACAAAATAAGTCTTCTTAAAATAAATAGAAAAATAAGCTTTTTACGACAGTTTCGTGCATTAGAAATTTGATTGCATCGGTAACAGTGAAAAAGTGATAAATAAGCTTATATGTAGTTAGATGGACATCAAAGAAGTGGAATTGGTCATTAAAATTTGAAACATGTGTAAATTTTTAAATCCTATGCTTGTAAATAAACTATTTAAAAATTGTGCATCTTATTCGAGTTCTATTTTACTATTATTTTTTCTATAGTGTATGTATACAATAATATTTTATTACTGATATAACTCACTTTTTTAAGATTTTAATAGAGTTTTGAAGTTTGAAGAAAATGTGAAGTATTCGCTTATGAGCACATAAATCTATATACTACAATATAGGAAATAAATAAACATGTAATAAAAACGCCAAAGCATTCCGCTACATTTTTTTAGCACCAACGTTGACGATACCTCCAGAAGATCGATATATTAGTGCAATTTCTCTTTTCATAGTTTCACAAGTTGATAATCTCAGAAATCACATATACGTACGTAAGGTTAAATTTGAAATCTGTTGCTAACAGCAGTAGTTTTATTGTAACTCACAATGGAATACTGATAAGCAAAACCATATCAGTATATAGTGTTGATTAGTCAGCTCATCAATGTTATAAATTCACAAAGAGATAAGAAGTTTGCCAAATTAAGTTTGGCACTAAAGAAGCAAAAAAATATCTGCCTAGAGAGAAAAGCATATATATTTCAAGGTGATCTAGCTTAGTAGTGTGAAAGGGGCCGCGTGAATATATGTATAGCGTGCAATGTATACACGGTAATAAAGTACGTGCATCTAGTACGAAGCATATACGTGGATCACAGGTACATGCTATGCGATGCACGCGCTTGTTACGCATATGTGCGCGCCTCCTTCTCTTTATCATCTTTTTTGTACACCGATTCCTATCCAAACCACCATACAGTGGACGTACCGCTCTCGGCCATCGTGATGGACGCGTTCGACGAATATTTCTTTGGAGCTTATGATAACTATGCTTTTGCTCTCTAAGAAGAGTTAGTGGTTCTTGATATTAGAATGAAATAAATTACTATGCTAACTAATACGGTAATTAAATGTTGATAGTTAATTTTAGAAGAATGATAAAAATTATATTTTTCTCGATTCTAATATTCATGCACATTTGAATCAACGCTTCAACCTGTAAGTCCGCTTAGTAAAAAATTAATGTAACTGTACACACGGCAAAATAGAGAAACAAATGTATTTATCGGATTTAGTCTTTTACGATTATTCAGATATATCGTTAAGTGAAATTACACGCAAGCCCGTTCTCTTGAAAAGTAATTTTTATGCAAATTAGCGAACAATAATTATCAAACGTTAACATTTTAATTATTCAATATATAGCTAATCAAATTACCAAAGAATGCGCAAAATACCAGATGTACGTTTACGATTCATAATCGTTGTACAAATAAGCGAGTAAAAAAACATCTTCAACGAAGATAAATTAACCGCGAAAGCTATAAGTGTGACTATAAGCTGCATAACTATAAACTGTATGCATAAGAAAAGGTGTTCCCTCCTTAAACTCGAAAATATGCTTTTCCGCTTGCGCAGCATATTCATAAATTACTCTCTCTCTTTCTCTCACTCGACGCCAACGAGCTTTTCAAGATTAATTATCAACGAATTTTTTCACATTCCTGTAATAACATAAAAGCCGAAAAGCTATATATTTCACTGAATGCGAAACAATAGCAAGAGAGACAGAAAGAGACGATGGTTGTTCTGATTAACGAACACATTTATCGTATAGAGAAGCAACCACCCACGCGCGTATACGAACTAGTTCGGTATATATATCGTTGGACTATACTCCCACGGCTCATCTTGAAAGTAGAAAACTAGGACTAAAAATCAGCTCTCGCGCATACACACACCTTTTGCATGAGTTTTATGTGTCACTAGGCCGTTTGTATGCTGCATCCTCGTTTCTTCTTCGAAGGTCAAGGTGCAAGATCCCATCGCACAGCAGCGCCGACAGCCTTGACAATGTGACGAGCGCAAAGCTAAACCTCTATGCGCGGCGGATTCGACTTTGCTGAATAATTGGGCTGAGCTTTCTCCGCTCTACTCGTATGTTTCGTCGTGAGAGAGAGAGAGAGAGAGAGAGAAAGAGAGAGAGAGAGAGAGAGCAGGAGAGGGAGAGAATTGATTGCAACCTTTCTCTCCTCTCCCCTCACACCAGGGAATCTTCTTCCCTGTGGTATTTTCTATTCAATCGTGAATACGCGCGGGCATGTTTATTTGTATTTTTACATTATTCTCATTTTCCATCATCAGTAATACAATTTTTCATATATTTACGAAGGTCTATAGATGTTTTTTATAGATGTTATAAAAGCAAATTTTTTTTACAACTCGTGCGTGGATTTTCCAATACTAATTACAAAATTTTACGAAAGTAATAGAAATTCGTTACAACGAGATATTTATAATGCTGGTGTAAAATCTTGCCTCCGAAAGGCATTATATCTTCAGCGAAAAACGCGTTCTGCCTACTTAACATTTTGTACAACTACCGCATCACATAAATCCTACAACGTTGCATTGTGCGCGTAAAAAATTGTTTACTAGAAAAAGTTTATAGTCTTGTTGACACAAAATCACGAGGGAAAAAAAATTAAAGCCAGTCATTTGCCGACTACTGTGTTAGTGCCCCATAACAAC